TTCTTACCAAAAGCCGCTATAAGCAACTCTGTCGATGTATTCTTCATTTCATTTTTATCATCAGAATCAGACAAATCATTATTTAATTCAATTAAATCCTCCTCCTCCTCTTCAGAATTAATTTTTTCATTATTATTTTTATTTATTTTTTTATTTTTTTCTTCATTTTTATTTAATTTTCCTCCTTTTCCTTCCTCCAAATTTTTATTTTCAATTAAATTAGACACTAAAAATGATGAAGAATTTTCTTTAATTAATGTTGTTTTTAGTGATTTATTTATTTTATTATTAATTATGTTGTTAATACTCTTATAATATTTTTTACGAGGAAAATGGGAGGAATGTTTATTATTTATGTTGCTTGTTTTTGTTGAATTCATTTGAAATTATTTAAATTTAATTAAAAATTAGTACATTTTTTAGATTTTCTCAGAATTTTCTGAAAATTTTAAGTTTTGTTTTAAAAGTTACATTTAACACAAATTCTTTAAGAATCAAAATCTTTCTGGATTTTCTCGCTATCGTTCATCAACTTTAGTCTTTTATCAAATGTAAGTATGAACATTATAATCTTTGTAAATGAGAAATCTGTCTTTATTTATTGTTATTTATTGTTAACAAATACGTATTCTTAATTAACTTAATCATGAACAATTTAGAAATCACATAGAAAGTCAGACTTACTCAAAAAACTATGTACCTTTATCAGATTACATAAAAAATCAGACATTTTATGCAGCGGAGTATACGACGGACTTGAGCATCGGAATTCCTTAGCTTTTAATAGAGGCGTCGCAAAAAAGATTTTAGAATAGCCGAAAACCCCCAAGGTAAACTTGTCTAGATCCCAAAGTTTTGGACTTCTATTTTAATATCTAAAGTATTGGGTCTTCATTTGGTCTTGCCCACTGTCTGGTCCAGCTATGAAACAATTTTTCAAAATTAAACTAGAGGTTTAGTTGGGCATTATCAATTTTTTAACATTTAATAAAGCTGTTGGGTAATAATATATAAATTAATTTGTGAAAATAAAGAAGTAAAGGGAATTCTTTCGAGAGTTGATCAAGCCAAGAGTGAATTGACAAGGAAATAAAAATAAACAAAAAAATTATAAGAAGCGCCAGTTGAACATAATAAAAAATATAAAATTTAGAGGATCTACTAGTGAGCAATTGAGAATTGAGTGGCTTCTTGAAGCAAAGTGTTTTTACATTTAATATAGTACTTAGTTTAATATAAATAATGAAAGGGTTGATGATGATTTTGTTGTTTTTGCTTTTTTAAAAATAAATAAAAAAAATAAACTTTAAGTGAAGAGTGATAGTTTTATTGGCAATTTAAAGACAAATTGGAAGGCAATATATATTTTAACTCTGTTGGATAGGTAAATGGTTATTTAGATTTAGTTCTTTAAATTAAGAAATAATTTTTTTAAATAATTTTATCGGTCACAACTAAAAATAAAAAGGAAAAATGTTTAAAGAGATTCTCAGATTTTCATAAAAATTTTTTATAATTAAGTACAACAAAAGTGAAGCAAATTTCACAATATTAAATCAGTATAAAGTTATTTAGCTCTTAGATGGAGCAGAACTTTTTAACTTCCCTATTTCCAAACTTGTCATTATTTTTTGGAAATAAGGAAGTCACTATTTTCGACTCACCTCAGCTAACGTATTATTACTTTAATTAAAGATGGATTCAAGAATGGAATACATTTCAAATTTTAATTTAACTTTTTTGTTAAATTACTAATAGTTAAACAATAAAGTCATATTATACTAACAAATTTAGAACGAAATAGGTAATATCTTCCAGCTGACCATTAATAAAGGAACAATTATATATTTTGGTCACCACATTTTTATGTTGCCTAAAAGATGATGACTGGCTTTTTCTTCTTCTTCAGCCCCCTTTATTCTCCTCTTATATATTAACTTCAATACTTTTCCTCTCTTCCACTTCTTCCTCTTCCTCTTATTAGCCTTCCGCCTTCCTTTATGTTCTTCAAAATTTCTCCAAAATAACACAAGCACGCACACCCGAAAGCGAAATTTGGCCGTTTTGGAGTGTGCCCCTTCTCGATGACTTTATGCGTGGTGGCAAAGGGAAGTGGTTGGTATATACACTTGAAACAAGCTAAAATGCTTGAAAAGTTGACGAGGACATTTAGTGGAGGATGCGGGGAAAACAATCCAAATGAATAGGCCCTTTGATTGTAGATGAAGCTATGAATGTGTTGTTTTGTTGTTTTTGAGGAAAGTTAAGATATAAGTGAGAAAATATTCAAAAATGGGAAATGAAATGAGTGTAAATATGAAATGAATTGGAAGGGATGTGGAATTTATAATTACGATTTTATGGATCATACGCATTGATATGATAATTTAGTAAAGCAGCTGGGCTATTTCCCTCCTTTAGCTAGGCTATTTCTCTCCTCCAGCATCTTCATTAGACCGAACTGATGTGTTAGCCATTTTACACCGCCGCCTTAGGAATTAAATAGCTAAATACTTTACAATTTAAATGAAGATTAAATGTACAAAGAAAGGATTAATAAAATATTTACATGTATATCAATTAAGTGAAGGTGAATCTTTGTGATAAGGCTTTTGCAATCTGTGTGATTCCGGGATAATCGGATTCATCGAAAACGCCTACATAAATAATTTGCTGTCAAGTTATCTCATCTTATTAAGGTTTATGTATGTTTAAGAGGCTAGGCTTTTTTCCGAGGTGTTTACAAATATTTAAAAATATTTTGTTTAGGTTTAAAGTTAAATTTATTCTGAAATGAAACTGATGACACAGATATAGGCAATCTTCTTCTCCTAATTCTTTTACTTCAATCCACCTATTCCCGCCCATATCTTTTCTACCAAACACTCACAAATTTACTCTTTTTTTTACTTTTTTGGTCCGCTGGTTCGTATTTAGCTATTGTCGGTTGTCGACTTTGCTGATTGGTGGCCAAGCAGCCCTTCTGGATTTGAAAAGCCAAAACCTTTTTTCTTTTCATTTATATACCAATTTTCCTCATTTTCCACTAGTATTCAATTCTTTACTCAAAAACCTTCAGCAATCATCCAATATTGGGTGCCAAATTGGCCGTGCATAAATCCTTTCCTTTTATACCCGGCTGGTGCTAATAAGCAGTAAAACAGTCATCGTCTTTCTCAATTGGATTAGTATTGGAAGAACCTTCTTTAAGGCTTTTTCTATTATATATATTTCTTCCTATTATTTACAAATTCTTTACCACCTCTACTTGGGAAAGAAGGGTCATTTGGTTTTATGCTTGAAGGTTTCATGCTCATTAGTGGAGGAAATTTGTATATTTTGGATATAGTCTTTTAAAAAGGAGTATCAATTAATATGTATAGGCACATCAGTATTTATTTGAATAGTTTTAAATAATTATTTTAATCTGTAAAATATTTGTCACTGTAAATAAAAATCGACTAATTTTAAGATGTTAATATGGTAATACTACGGCTGACGCCCCCCCTACCATTTTTCCGTTCTATTTTTTTCAGTTTTATGGAAAATATATATCTATCGAAAGAGGCACTAAAATCATCGAAACCTGACCTGAATCAACTTAGTTATGACAGTTTGTTTTAACCCATTGTAGCGGAACATCCAATACGTTTTAAGCCCTTTCTTGTCCCATGCTCGCTAATGTAAATTTACTAGATTATTTACTCTCGATTTAAAGATACCGGAGTTTCTTAAAAGTATAACTGATATTTCGCTTAGCGACCATAAGGAAAGGTGAAATTTTCGAAGACGTCATTCTACTTTAATGCAGAGAAATAATTTAACACTTTTTGGTGGCCATTAAACCCCCGTTCCCCGACCCTGCCCCGAAACAATTCGAAAGCCCCGTACCCCGACACACCCGCCCCCGAGTGTTCGTGGTGCAACCCTATTTGTAATACATTCTGAAATTAAAAGAAAATAAAAAAGACAGTAAAAACTTTATAGTTTTTTAACAATAAATATGAATTTAGGGTGTAAATAATGTTAAATATTTTTTAAAATAAAGAATAAAAATTTAAATAACAGTGTAATTAGTGTATAAATTACATAAAATGCTTTTTGTTTGAATAAATAATTTGGTGAGGAAAATAATATCAATTGTTTAAAATACAAATTAGAGTATTTTACAGTTAAACTGGAAAAAAAGAAACTAAAAATCGTGGGCCAAAAAACCTTGTAAAAAACAAGGAAGTACTGGATTATAACTAGATTACGTCGACTCGGTTTTAACCATGTCCGTCGAGTAAGAAGTTTCCGAGTACGAGTAATGCCGAGTATTAGGATCCCGAGTTCCAAGCCCGAGTAAAGGCGAAAAAAACCCGAGCGATCGAGTCGAGTAAACTCGAACTCGCTCGACTCGGACGTACTCTAATTATAACTTAGTCGTAAACTACTCTAATTTAAATGATAGTTTAAAAATAATTCGAATCTGTGAGTAATATTTTAGGTTAATATGCTAAAATGCATACATGTATTAGGTCGGGTCATAATTAGTGTCGCTTTTTAGATTAAATTTTTAGGAGTGTTATTTTACAAATATTTTTTTCTTATTAACCAACATAAAGATCTCAATCTACTCTTCATTTTAATACCAAGTTTAGTTATATATGGGTGATATTCTTTAAGTTATGATTTTTTGAACTTCACTACCTCTATCCGTCGTAGTGGACGACGGTTAGAGATTTTCAAGGGTTTTCGAATGATATATCACACTAACTATTATCATTACGTATACTTGAGAAAATTTGATTCCCGATGATTTCGGAAATTTTGATATTTTCGATCAGAACTCCCTGAATACCGAACCAAAAATTCTCAAATGTTGGCATCTCTTAGAAAATACTTTAACAAATTATTCGTAATAAAAATAAAAAAATATTTTCAAAAAACTCCATTTTAAAAATCCAAATTAAAAAAGCGACACTAATTATGACCCGAGCTAATAATTAACATAAACTGAAGATTACTTTAATAAAATAACCAAAATAAAGAAGGGTGAAAATTTAAAAAACAAAAAAAATTTCAGACAATTTTTTGAAAATTTTTTGTCGACAACGGGGGGTTGTCGGTTCAGTTTAGGTTAACCAAAACCGACAACACTAGTTTAACGACAAAAGGATGTTTTAAAAAAGCTCAAAAAAGAGAATTTTTCATAGTAAAATTTTTCTTTACCCGAGGTTGAAAATTTTGTACCGTACCGTTTAATTACCGAAAAATATCGTCGGTAATATTGTAACGTCCAGGCTCTAATCATACTCATCATCACCGTCATACTCTTCATTTAAACTTTCTTGAATATTTTCGGGGTCTTGAACAACTAAAAAATTTATTTTATTTAAAATTAAATCAAAAATGTAGTGCTTGTAGAAACTATTTTTACCTGCTCCATGGGTGGATGAACTAGCTTTCTTTGGATCTAAGTAATTTTGGAAAGTTAAACTTGATGGATGGGCATGACCTTTAATTAGTTAAAAATTAATTTAAAAAATATACTGTATTTTTCGAAACAGTCCTCCTTTAGAAAGGGATAGATAGTAGAGTTTCACCGAAAGTTCCGGTTCCGTTTTGGAAAGTTCGTCGTTCCGGGGCCAGAACTCAAATTAGATCCGGTTCTGGCTCCGGTTTACAAATCTGTTTCGGGCAAACCGGAACTTTTTTACACCCCCTAAGGATTTGTTTTTTTAATATGGTATTCGGAGGATTTGGATGGATTGAGGTGGATTTTGAGTTATATCGTGTGATTTCAAAGGGTCAAAATTTCGGTTCCGTAGAGAAAATTCGGTAGTATATGATCGATAAATGTATAATATGCCTGTCCCGCATTATCTTGGTGAAGTCAATTATTTTAATAAAAATTAAATAATGACCAGCTGGTGGATAATCTAGATTGTGGTGCACGTTGGAGCTTGATGCAATATTTTCATTTGACGGATATTTTTGCCCTGTTAATTATTTTTTAATTATTTACATATAATTAAAATATATGTATTTACCAATAATTCGTTGAAATTGTTGATTTCGACCTTCATATAGAGAATTTGACAAAGATTCATAATGTGGAACTAAAGTTTGTTTAATTGCGTGGGGATAAAAGGCTTTAGCGAAAGGATTCAAACTGTTATATAATTTATATTTAAATTAAAATTTAAAATAAACTTTGATTTTTTCTTGAATTTGGGTCGGGTATCTGAAAATTTAAATAATAAATTAATATTTTTTATACTAAATTAATTAAAATCTTTACGTTGGTGGTCACAAAATCATTATTCTCCAAAAGTCCATATTTATCTAAAAGGAAACAAAAATTTTGGAGTTTTTAATCTAATTTTATTTTTAACTAAAATTTTTACTTATTTATTTATTTATTTATTTAATACGTAAATTAATACGCGTCCACAATTAAAAAACAACAAATTAAATTCAATAAAATACAGTGTCATTATTGGAAATTATAGGTTAGGTGGGAGTATTATTAGAACGAAATTTGGAAAAATTAGAAATGCTGAGTTTTTTTTTAAATTTATTTTCAAAGACTTCAGTGATTAGTATATGTAAATAATTTCTAGACATTTAATTTAATACTTCTTGTTTTTTTTTTTGAATACAATGTCAAGTTAAGCAGCAAAACCCTTACCGAATTAGTGTTAAGGAAGCCTATTCTGACCGAGCTACCAGATGAACTGGCGCTCATCAGCGTTGGCTGATGTGCGTGCCTCTTCTTGCCGAGCTACCAGATGAACTGGCGCTCACAAGCGTTAGCTAGATGCCAAAGCAGACAAGATTACATTGCTGTAATCCCCGTGGCCCAATCGATAAAGTGCAAGACGATTGTTAGGCACATTGAGGGGCAAAATGGGTATTCGGCAGGTATTTTGTGTGCTTAATATATATTGTTATGAAATAGAAATTTTTTTCCAAGTAGATAATAGTATTAAATTAATTTATTTTGTAAGTTTTAATCCAAATTACTGAAGTCTCTTTTTTTTAAAACGATTCTTTTCCTCAACAACTAATTTAAAAGGGAAAAATTTCAAATAAAATTTATGTATTTTTTGAAAAAATTTTCTGAACTTCTAAAAAAAATTTTTTTTTTTGAAAATTTTTCTAAACTTCTTTTTATCTCTGTCAGTTCATTTTGCTAGAACAAAACAAAATAAAATTAGAAGCTGATCTCTAAATTGAAAAGTGATAATTATTTTTTTTAATTAAATTATGTTAAATTGACTTAATTTAATTTAAATTTTGATTGAGGAAAGATCGATTTTATTTAGACAAGTACGAAAATTTTGTATTTTTTGATGCTTAAAAAGTTCATTAGGAAGTTTTGGATATATTCTAGCCATTTTTTCAAAGAAAAAATGGTGCCTTAAATTTAAGTTTGAATGTGAAGAATTAATTTTTATTTGATTTCTGGTATTTGACTTAGTTAATTTGGGATAATGAGATTTACCTATGCTTATGTATCCGTGAATTATTTTGTGATAACACATAATATCATTAATTAAAAATCTATCTTTAATGGATTTAAGATTTAAAATCATAAGGAGATCTTCATATGAAGGTTTAGTTGGATAGAGATTCTGAAGTCCGCGGAAATATATAATTTTAACCGCCATTTTTTGTACGTCTTCAAGTTTTTTTATTTCTGATTTGAGGTAAGGGTTAAATAATTGAGAAAATGATTCTATAATTGGTCGTACATAAGAAGTATATGCTTTTGTTAAAAAATTAGGATCATTCGATTTAATTGCTTTGAAAAGTGTGAAAAGTCGAGTGTAAGCTCTTTTTTTAATATAATCAATATGAATAGTCCATTTTAATGAAGATGAGGTTAAAATTCCTAAATCGCGAACAAAGGAAATTATTGGAGTAATCTTGTTATTGGAAATATAGTAAGGAAATTTAGAGTTATTTTTGCCCAAATAAAGGACATTGCATTTTTTTGCTGAAATTTCTAACTCGTTTTCAGCTGACCATATTTCAATTTTTGAAATACAATTTTGTAGAAGAAAACGTTTGTTACAATTGGAATGGATTAAATATGCCTTAAAATCATCAGCAAAAAATTTGAAAATTATATCATGTGTGGCGCAGAATTTGACTAAATCATGGATGAAGAAAATAAACAAAATAGGGCCAAGGACAGAACCTTGAGGGACACCCATATTACTTGTATGATTTTCAGAAAAAGCATTATTTATTTTGACAGAGTAGGTACGATATCTTAAGAAATTTTCAATCCAAAATAGTAGTGGATTACCTATACCTATATTTGTGAGTTTTTTTAATAAAATAGTATGAGAAACTTTATCAAAGGCTTTTATGAAATCGAAGTAGATAATGTCAACACAAAGATTTTCATCAAGAGCCTTAGTCCAGTCATCATGTGCTTCTAATAGTTGAGAAACAATAGATTTAGATTTAATAAATCCATGTTGAGATGTAGGTAAATATTTTGTTATGCGTACAATTAAGTTATCTTTAATAATTTTTTCCAGAACTTTAACTAAGGTACAAGTTAAGGCTATAGGTCGATAATTAGATGCTAGTGATTTGTCACCTTTTTTAAACAATGGTATAATGTTTGAATGGGTCCAAATAGAGGGTAAGGTGCCTGTCATCATTGAGTATCGAAAAATTTGAGTTATAGGTTGAGTTAAGCTACCTGCACATTTTTTAAGAATGTAATTATTTAGGCAATCGGGTGAGGTGTTAACTTTAAGTGTTAATTTTATCAATTTATCGAAAACATCAGCTTCAGAAATATCAATGTAATTAAGAGTGTTAGTATTTAAATTTTGTAAATTTAGCGGGTGAGGCAAGTTTTGTTTGTGAAATATTGATTTAAAGTAAAGTGCAAAATAATTTGCTTTAGCTAGATCGGTAGAGAAAACATTATTAGTTTTAATGTCAAGTATGGTAGGAATATTAAAGGAGTTAGACTTAACTTGTGAGGAAATATAATTGAAAATTCTTTTGCTATTTTTACTTTTTATTAATTTATTTTCTCTGTATATTAAGTATTTTTTAAGTTCTTTATTAAATCTTTTATTGACGTAAAGAAATTTAGATTTTATATCTGCTTTATGTATATCCTTCCAGAGTTGAGCACGATAAGTATCGATTTTTTGCAAATGATTTGGAAGATTAAGAGATGAACAATTTGTAATAGGAATGAAATTTTCAATAAAATTTTTTGTAATCTGGGTAAAAGTAGAGTATATTGTATCTAAATTGTGCGGAAAGATAGATTTAAAAATATTGTTCCAGTCCGTATTAGCAACAGCATAGTTTAATGAATTGTAGTCTCCTTTTAAGTAATTTAATCGATAGTATAATTCAGATGGTTCATTTTTAAAGGTGACGGAAAATGAAAAAGAGGAGTGATCTGATGAAGACATAGGCGGAAGGGACAGAATGTCATCTATTAAACCAGGATTGTTAGTAATTAAAAGGTCTAATATATTTTTTGATCTAGTGGAAAAAGTAATTAGCTGATGTAAATCAGCATTTTTAACAAATTCTTTGAAAATATTATTGCTATCATTATCAGCTAGCCAATTAATTGAGGGGAGATTAAAGTCACCGGTAATAATTATAGGGTATGAAACTGAGAGTAGATCAGTTAGAATAGAAATAAGATCAAAAAGAATAATATCGGTAGTTTTTGGCGGTACATAAGCATTTATGAATCTCATTTTATGTCCCAAACCGTTTATTATATCGAGGCAAACAATCTCAATGTTTTTTAAAGTTTTTTTTGAAAATTTGATTAAATTGACCGAAAATATGTTGGAAATAATAATAGCTACGCCACCACCTCTGCTCTTCCTATTATGTCGAAAAATAGAGTAAGGAAGATTTTTTACCAATAATGAGTCAGGAATATCGTTAGTTAACCAAGTTTCTGTAATAAGGATTATGTTATATTTATAGGATTCAAGTAAAAAATGTAAATCATTTAATTTGTTTTTGATTGATCTTGCATTAAAGTAAATAATTTTAACACGTGGTCCAGGGTAATTTATTTGTTTAAAGAAACTTGGTTAAAAGCGCGAACGATTTTCCCCTTGAAAATTTTCCAAGGGGGTTCGCCGACATTTAATTTTGAATTTTTATCTCTACATTCCTTACGTAACTCATAGTCATGCTGACGCTCTTCTTTAGTCTGTGATGGTCGTAAATATACGCCAGAGAAGTCAGAAATATTACGAAGTGATTTAGAACGAGAGAGGATAAGGCGTTGGTGGTATGTTGTTGGCATCACCACTTTAATTGGTCGACCTTTCCCGTCGTTACGAGGCTTCCCCATCCGATAAGTTGTTATGGGATTAGTGGGAATTCCAAGAGAATCAATAATTTTATTTATTTTATTTGTGTCGTCAATGAAATTCTCTCTATCATTATTACCCTGAGATTCAGAAAGACCGACTATGACTATCGATCGTGCTTTTTCTTTATCATCAGGGGATAATGGAGGATTTTCATTTTGAAGCTTTTTTTCAATATTAGTAATGGTAGTTTGTAATGCATTAATTTGTTCGGATTGTTTAATTACGAGATTTACAAGTAGATTGATGGTAGAAATTAAATCGATATTAGGGTCAGAAGTATTAGGGGACGAAGGAGAGATACCAATTGATGTCAATTTATTACGAATCGTAGTCAAACGAGAATCTGAGTCATTATCTGAATCAGTTTTCTCTTGACACGAACGTTTTCTATTTTTATTTGGGAGAGTCATTTTTATTTTTTTATTGATTAGTTTTGAAAGGAGTAGAAAAAATAGGAATGAGTAGAAAAAATAGGAATGAGTAGAAAAAATAGGAATAGTAGAAAAAATAGGAATGAGTAGAAAAAATAGGAATGTAGAAAAAATAGGAATGAGTAGAAAAAATAGGAATGAGTAGAAAAAATAGGAATGAGTAGAAAAAATAGGAATGAGTAGAAAAAATAGGAATGATAGGAATGAGTAGAAAAAATAGGAATGATGAGTAGAAAAAATAGGAATGATGAGTAGAATGATGAGTAGAGTTAAACTTGATGGATGGGCATGACCTTTAATTAGTTAAAAATTAATTTAAAAAATATACTGTATTTTTCGAAACAGTCCTCCTTTAGAAAGGGATAGATAGTAGAGTTTCACCGAAAGTTCCGGTTCCGTTTTGGAAAGTTCGTCGTTCCGGGGCCAGAACTCAAATTAGATCCGGTTCTGGCTCCGGTTTACAAATCTGTTTCGGGCAAACCGGAACTTTTTTACACCCCCTAAGGATTTGTTTTTTTTAATATGGTATTCGGAGGATTTGGATGGATTGAGGTGGATTTTGAGTTATATCGTGTGATTTCAAAGGGTCAAAATTTCGGTTCCGTAGAGAAAATTCGGTAGTATATGATCGATAAATGTATAATATGCCTGTCCCGCATTATCTTGGTGAAGTCAATTATTTTAATAAAAATTAAATAATGACCAGCTGGTGGATAATCTAGATTGTGGTGCACGTTGGAGCTTGATGCAATATTTTCATTTGACGGATATTTTTGCCCTGTTAATTATTTTTTAATTATTTACATATAATTAAAATATATGTATTTACCAATAATTCGTTGAAATTGTTGATTTCGACCTTCATATAGAGAATTTGACAAAGATTCATAATGTGGAACTAAAGTTTGTTTAATTGCGTGGGGATAAAAGGCTTTAGCGAAAGGATTCAAACTGTTATATAATTTATATTTAAATTAAAATTTAAAATAAACTTTGATTTTTTTCTTGAATTTGGGTCGGGTATCTGAAAATTTAAATAATAAATTAATATTTTTTATACTAAATTAATTAAAATCTTTACGTTGGTGGTCACAAAATCATTATTCTCCAAAAGTCCATATTTATCTAAAAGGAAACAAAAATTTTGGAGTTTTTAATCTAATTTTATTTTTAACTAAAATTTTTACTTAATGTTGTGTTTGCCGGAGATGCTTGATGAGAATAAGTTTCATGAGTTGGAGCCTTAGAATTAATTTGAAATAATTATAAATAGTTAAGGTTTGTAAACTATAAGTTTTGAGCTGAAAGTGCTTTCCATTACTATACAGTTTAAAAAAGTTACAGTATACTTCCTGGGTCATATCAAAAAGTCATTTTTGGACCATATCCTGTTTATGGTCTAAATCTTTTGCTTAAAACCTAGAATGCTCGAAGATCCAATGTGTGTTTTGTTATATTACAAAAGATAAAATTTTCAATAATACAAATTTTGTATTTTAACTCTAAATTCTGCCAAATTAATCCTATGACTCTAATTTTTTGCTCAAAAATAGGCAATTCTCTTAGTAACATAAAGAAATATGAATTACATTTTGAAAACATTTTATTGAATTTTAATAATTATTTAATGCGCTTAACACATGGGGGGCTCAAAACTTAGTTTACACCCTAATAATAAATATTTTTTATTTTATTGAATTAAAATCTTTACGTTGATGGTCACAAAATCATTATTCTCCAAAAGTCCGTATTTATCTAAAAGAAAATATACACTTTTTGAAATTTTTAATTTCTAAAATTTTATTTTTAACTAAAATTTTTACTTAATGTTGTGTTTGCAGAAGATGCTTGATGAGAATAAGTTTTATCAGTTGGAGCCTTAGAATTTTATTTGACATAATTATGAATGTTTAAAGTTTTTATATTTTCTATATGGGGGAAGGATATTAAGGAGTTATTGACATGGGGGCATATATACTTGAGTTGGTTTATTTTTTTGATAGCCCACATCATGGGTCCCTTACACTATTTCCAAAGAGTTCCTGAGAGTTTTATTAAATTAATTAAAATCTTTACGCTGATGTTCACAAAATCATTATTCTCCAAAAGCCCATATTTATCTAAATAAAGATTTAATTTAAAAATTTTATTTTTAACTATTTTTACTTAATGTTGTGTTTGCCGAAGATGCTTGAGGAGAGTAAGTTTCATCAGTTGGAGCCTTGGAATGCTATTTGAAATAATCATAAATAGTTAAGGTTTTAAGGTTGTTTTCTATGTATATTTGGTAGGGATATTAATGAGGCTGGCCTTTTATTTCAGTTGGCTAATTATTACAATCGCACACAGTATGGACCCCTCCATGGTTCCCAGTGAGTTATTTACTGATTCCAAAAAAATTTTCAATCATAAAATTAACATAAAACGTTTTAAATTCTGAGTAATGATCCAGTTTATATAACACATATTGTCAAACATTACCATTTGAGGAATTTTAGGCAAACTATTATACTGGTCTGCATTAGAATTCAAGCTTTCATCATCAGAGCTATTAGGAGTATCAGAATTAGTAGCATATTCTAAATTGAAAATAAATTAATATTTTAAGCTTAACCAAAGTTGAGATTTGCTTAAATTACCCTCTCAATTTTAATTTTATTGGAAAATAATTTAAAAAACTTTTTTTAAGTCTAATTTAAGCTTGAATTATTTTTCAATAAAATAAATTTTTTGAAGTATATTCTCTGAAACATTCGAATCGAAAGAAATTCGGGTTGGATTATGATGGAATCAGTTTTTTTGTGTCATTTAGAATTTTAATACTCATACTTCTTAATCTGAGATCAAATTCATCTTTTCCTTCACTTTCCGTACTGCTTTCTTGGAAAGACTTTTGGCTTTCTGAAGATTCTTCCGATTTTTTAGCAACATTTTTTAAAGTTGGATTTGCTACATGTGGTATACTTCCTCTCACTTAATTTTATAATTAAAACAAATAAATTTAATTTTTAAATTATTTTATTAAAAGAAATCTTTAAAGCATATATGTAGCTATTAATTTCCTAAGGCTATGCAGTAGGCGGCGTGGTGTAATGGCTAACACATCAGTCCGGTCTACTGAAGATGTCCCAGCCGCCGAATAACCTTTTGCAATAGCTAAAGAAGAGGTATAGCTATAGCCCAGCTGCTTTACTATTCTTTTAAGTAATTAGTTCCAAAATTCATAGAATATTATGTCCGAGGGTTGTACGAATGTAGTGAATAGATGTTCCGACTCTGAGCTTGTTGCGAGTCAAAATCCCCAATATCACCTCAAATCCCCATTAATGTATGCAAATTCTCAAAAACTACACAACATAGGAGGCCAAATGTAGGGATTGGTGAATTAAGAGTATAAGTAAAATCAGAATTTCCAAGACTTTAAACATACAATCCGCTTTCTTTCTTACCTGGTAAATTGTGATGAATTGAGGAAGCTAAAAATTTTATTTAACGTTTTATATATCCAATAAATTAAATATCAATTTGCCTGTCTTCGTTCCACCGATATTTATGCTTTGAAAACTTTGGGGATTTGTCTGATGGAAATTTGAAGTAGTCGAAGATTCCATCTTAGGCTGTCCTTTGCTTTTTGATTGGGAAAATGCCGGATTTATCAATTTATGTTTCCCAACACTTTCTTCAACTTTTTCCTTCTGCTTTTTCACCCCACTTCCTTCAACATTTTCTCCCTTTTTCTTACCATCTACTCCTTCAGCATAATTCAAAATTAATAAAAATAAAATAAAAATCCAAAGGAATTTTTGTAAAAGCATCGCAATCAAAAATAAAAATTTTTTAGAAAAAGTTTTCTTAAATTTATTTAAATTTTATTTATTTTATAAAAATTTAAAAAATTTTATTTTTCTTTATAAAAATTAAAATAAAATAATAAGACAGAAAAAAAAGAAAATTTTAAAATTAAGAGTGAATAGCATTAATGAGAGGGCTTAATTAAGAAAGAGGCTTTGTAAAGCGCGAGCGTTAGTCACACGTAGACTAACGCTCGCCCATGCTTTAAAAGAGGTAATATTTTAGAGGGAATATAGCCGCGCAGATTGATTAATTAGTCTATTTGAAAAAAATTAAAAATTAAAATTGTTAAAGTTTATTTATGTACAAATTTGTGCTTGTGATTTTTGTATAAATAAGTAAATAAAACCTCTAATACTACCCCATGGGGCTGTATATTTCAACTATCCTCCAGACTGGGGCTATATTAGAGGGGAGGCTCAATTAGCGGAAATACCGTAAATTTATTTAAATAAATTTATTTTTAATTAATTTAAGGGTTTCAGCATATCCTTGAGTCAACAAAAACAGTTAAAATTAACCTAGACTTAATGTTAAATTATTCAAAATATCACATAAAAAATTCAAACTCTATCAAACACATAATTATTGTAAATTGTTAATATTAATAAAATTTAATATTATTGGTACTTTATGGATATGTCACC